AGCGCACGTATATAGCTAGAAAGGGTATTCTATCAGGTGAAGAAGCAGCCGATCGTGCACAACCTGTACAGGAAGGGGCAGCAGAGGAGGCAGCAGAGCCACCGGCCGAGCGGCCACAGCGAGCAAAACCTAGGTGCAGCATGTGCGAATCAACAGAACACAATGCACGTACGTGCCCTAGGCGGCATGCAGCTAGCTAGTATGTAGCTGCATTAAATATATTTGTTCGTTGTGGAGTAATTCGGAATATTTGGCCTCGGTAGCGTGGTTGGGTGGGCCACTAGCTTGTGCGGGCCACTAACTTGTGGATTACGTTATAATACCAGCACGTTATTATTAGGGAATTCTTGGCAAGGATTGTCAGACAAGGGTGGTCTTAAGCTGCTGACAAGTCGCATTCTCCCCCCAATAGCCCTCAATCGACAATGCCATGATGCAGCAGGAGTCTCGCAAGCTGCTCGGAGATGATGCTGCCTCAGATGACGACAGCGACCGCGAGGAACACCTCCCCCAGCCCCGCAACGAGAGCCTGAGCCCGAACCCCAATAGTAGGCCAAATAGCAGCTCACCCCGTCCGCATGGGAACCGCCAATCCTCCTTCGCACAGCCGAGACCAGATGGGGCCCCGCGGACGCCGAATCGCGTGAGGTTCCAGGAGTCGGCGAATGGAGATGCGAGGGCGAACGGCCGCACGAGCTCGGAATGGGTGGAGCTGGAGGGGGAGGACTATATGGATGATGACCCGGGGCGGAATTCAGAGGGAAGAGAGCGCGTGCAGCGGTTGCCGCTGCTCACGGGGATCGAGGCACCAAGTGTGACGGTTGCGGATGAGATGTTCAATCCGGAGGACCTTCTGGAGAGTGCGAGGCCACGGAGTAATATGAGCAGTGCCTTTATGAACATGGCCAACAGCATCATGTCAGTACAGACTTCTCAATTCATATTTGTTTCTCACATGCTTGCATGAGATTGTAATACTGAGCTGTAATTGAGCGTTGCTAATGGGTTCGTAGTGGTGCTGGAATTATTGGGCAACCTTACGCGTTTCGCCAGGCCGGCCTCATAACTGGAACCATCCTCCTCATAAGCCTTACGGTGACAGTGGATTGGACAATCCGGCTCATAGTCATAAATTCGAAGCTGAGCGGCGCCGACTCGTTTCAGGCGACCATGGAGAAATGCTTTGGCAAATCTGGATTGGTTGCCATTTCCCTAGCACAATGGCTCTTGTGGGTGTTCCTTGGGCTACATATTCGAAAATGATGGATTTTGACTTTCAACAGCGCCTTTGGAGGCATGATCGCCTTTTGTATCATTGTTGGAGACTCAATACCCCACGTCTTCAACGCCATATTTCCTAAACTCAAAGACATGTCATTCCTCTGGCTTCTCACCGATCGGCGAGCGGTCATTGTCATTTTCATACTCGGGGTCTCGTACCCGCTCTCACTGTATAGAGATATTGCTAAAGTATGCCAGACATTCCTTTCATTGAAGTATCAGCTGACCTTTCCCAGTTAGCGAAAGCAAGCACATTGGCGTTAATCAGCATGTTGGTTATTATTGTTACGGTCATCACACAGGGATTTCGAGTCCCTGCGGAGTTGCGCGGCGAGTTGAAAGGCGGCATAATCATACACTCGGGCATATTTGAAGCGATTGGCGTTATTTCTTTTGGTAAGATATGTGGCTGAATGTAGATATAGCAGGACTGACTCGAAATAGCATTTGTCTGCCGTAAGAACGAAATGTCCAACCATCAAAGTTTCTCATCACTTATAGCTCCGCAGATCACAACTCCCTCCTCATCTACGGCTCCCTCAAGAAACCTACCATTGACCGCTTCTCCCGCGTCACCCATTACTCTACGGGCATCTCCATGGTCGCATGCCTCGTCATGGCTCTTACCGGCTACCTCACCTTCGGCAGCAAAACGGAGGGCAACGTCCTCAACAACTTCCCTACCGACAACGTTATGGTCAATGTTGCACGGTTGTAAGTCACCGTTCCGCTGATACATTCTCCCTGTGCCGGCCTTCACTAACATTTCCAACAGCTGCTTCGGCCTAAACATGCTCACTACCCTCCCGCTCGAAAACTTCGTCTGCCGCGAAGTAATGACAACCTACTACTTCCCGCACGAAGCCTGGGACCCAAACCGCCACCTCCTCTTTACCACCGTCCTCGTATTCGCCGCCATGTCTCTCAGCCTGCTCACCTGCGACCTCGGCGTCGTGTTCGAGCTCGTTGGTGCCACTAGCGCGTGCGCGTTAGCTTACATATTCCCCCCGATTTGTTACATCAAGTTGAGTAGTCGGAGCTGGCGCACGTGGGCTGCGGGTGGCGTCGCGGCGTTTGGGTGTACGGTTATGCTTATCTCTACGGTCCTCAGTGTAAGTAAGATTGTTAGGGGTGGAGAAGAAGGGAAGACGTGTAGTTGAAGTAGGACTATAAGTAGCATTGAGTAGGCGTTTAGGATAGATCTATGGGTTGGTTTGATGTTGAGCAGGTAACTTTTGATGGGCAGAACATGATGTAATGCGGTCTAGCTAATGGCTGTGCAATTCACTTTGCAGGATGCCAAATAGTTCAAAGCACCAGTGCTAGTCAAAACAGGATCGGAAGCGGCTAGCGCCGGCCAGGATCGATTACACTTTACTGCAGGAAGTTACGGACGAATTACTCGCGCTGATGAGGCTCCTTTTATTCCCGGTTCATTTTCCCTATCCCTTCCCTGGATCCCCACAGCTGGGACCTGATCGACGCTTGGATGTTGAATCTCCGCTGACCGCCCATTCGCTAAACGAACAACTACCATTCATTCCTTCAGTCTGGTTCAGATCGATGCAGACAGCCGCTGTTTTCTAGCTTAAAGTGCAGAGAATTAGTCGAGATCAAGAACAGATAGACATTTGGGTCTTATCAGCGGGATTAAGAAGTATTGACCACATCATTTCGCGTGACATTGCACCTAACAAAAACTTGACGAAGATCTACACTCACGCAATTCGCCAAGAACACACGTCCTGTAGTTCTTATACCTCAAATGGTACCCCTGCACGTCCCGGAAGCCAGCCGGAACGAGTCAAAGCGGCCACATGGGGAGCCGCCAAACAGCTGTCAACCGGCGTCTTCAGCGATCGTCACCAAAACGGGATCCCCACACGAGCGCAGCCAGGGTGACGGATCTGCATTCAGCTGAGGAATTACCGGCTATGAATTGACAGCAAGCTCGCGAAAGAAGGAAGAGCCGGAGACATGATTCGCAACCGGCCAGGGTCCAGAGGAAGAGGAAAACCTCATGAACATCTCTGGGGCTTGGATGAGACTCCTGAGTGACACGACCGCGTCTTACCGAACAAGTGAGGGGGCGTCAGGCGTGGAAAATTCGTATAAAGAGCTCAAGACATGTCTCTCAATTGACTCCATCATCACAATCACAACCGGTTTTACCATTCTCACCCACAGTCGCTCTTTTAGGCATTTCCGAATCTAGTCACTCTTTTAAAACTAGCCAAAATCGTTCATCATGAAGTTCTCGTCCTTCTCCCTCTTCGCCCTCTCGGGACTGTTCGCCGGTGCCTTTGCTGCGCCTGTCGCCTCCAGCCAGCGTGATGTCGTCGCTCGCGATACCGGTTATGGGCCGGTCACGGAGACGGTTTCTCACGTCAAGACGATCACGATCCTGACCCAGCTCGTTTCGGATGTCAAGGTCCACACTGGTGCCATCAGTAAGTGCATTCTAGCTCATGCTAGCAATCCCAAATGAGGATATCATACTTACATTAATCCAGACGCCACCATCGTCGACGTCGTCATCGACGAAACCTCGAAGCTCGAAATCACAAAGCTCGTCCAGAACGAAGTCAAGCAGATCATCGCCATTATCTCCACCGCCATCAAGGGCATCACCGAGCTCGAAGTTATCCAGCTCGTGGAAGCGGACCTGAAGACCGTCGTCTCTCTCCTCGTTGAGCTCATTGTCGAAATCGTCTTCACGCTCCAAGGCGTCGTCAAGGTCGTTGGAATCAGTACGTCGAATCTCTCGCCTGTCTAAGGCTGCCGACAGCTAACATCTCGAACAGCTGTCTCGGAGCTCCTTGGCTTCATCCTGCCCCTCCTTGTCAACGTCATCATTGCGCTGCTTCACGCCGTCGCGGCCATTGTCGGTGATGTCCTCTCCCTGCTCAAGCTCGTTCTCGGGCCGGTGTTGGATATCGTTGGCGGTGTCCTTACCGGTCTTGGAGAGCTCCTGCAACAACACTACTAGGGCATCCCACCCAGATGGCTCCGACGGGATATGATAGCATAGCGATGGGAGGGGACGTGTGTGAGTTGTACAATAGACGAGTACGATGCCATGAAGGTCACTCTTCGGCGTTGAACTTCATTAGGAATAATTTTAATTTATAAATTGTGCTGAGAAAAGTTCGCTCTTCAGTATTGACGTGTTCATATGCTTATGCCAATATCATAGTAACTCTCCAGGAGCCTACTGGGTAGAATGCAGCATCTTGCCCTTGATATTCACATCTCCCTCAGGGTGTTCTCGAGCTTGAAGGATGGGATGCTCTGGGGAAAATGCTGTCGAAGAAGCTCCGATGATGAAACTTAAACTGCACAAAGCAGGTATACATTTCTCGAAGTTGGTGATGCGTTGCGTATTAAATTTGCAACGCAGTTTGGAAGTGTTCATAAGATAATCACGTGATTGATTCTGAGGTCATTCTAAAACCTTGTTCCACGTCGCTCCAATCCCATCATCCATCATCCATTAATCGTAATACAAAGCCCCGACCTTCTAGGAGATTTACACATAACCGCAGGTTTCTGGTAAATACCCCTCCGAGAATTGACGTTGGCGACGCCGTTTTATAGGTCTTCCAACATGTTATGGCGCGCCGCAATCAGGCATGACAACCTATAGAAACATGTCGGTAAAGAAACCAAGAGCCAATTCTTTGAAGGCAAGCCCATTCTAAGTCCGGTTAAACGCTGTGAAATCAACGCTTGGTCCAAATCCACTAGGATGATCAAGACCTTTCATACACGCAACGACGAGTCGGGTGTAGCTAAGGCCCATCCTCCGAGGCAATTCCTTTTCCGCCAATTCAAGCAATATCTCTTTCACTTTATTGGGAATCTTCAACGCTGCACGAAGAGCAGCGTCTGGGTCCGGTGCACTATCGACCTTGGCAGCTGCTCGAAAGTAATCTGATACCTGCGATTGGCCGTTCGCCGTTCTCGTTCGGACAAGAGGATCCCAGAGGCCAATCTCTAACAGACATACCCCGAGACTGTAGATGTCATGACCAATGTTGTATCTTTCCTGAACCATTACTCTATCCTGGACTTCGACTCCTTGCCGTTCGGGATGACGGTAGATGTTCTCCGTCCAATCGGTACTCCCAGCCATATTGGAAAGATTGCCCTCGATAGCTCGTCCATGATACCAACTCATCAAATAAGGGTCTCCAAATCCGATTGCATAGCTTGCGTCCTTGTCTGCGCCCTCGAGCCTTGGCTTGAGAAGAACGATTGTCTCGCTGCGTATGTTTTTATGGACCAGGCCCGCGGAATGGACCCCAAGAACAGCCTCGGAGAGTTGGCGTGAGAGACGAAATCGGTAATTGACAGAATGAGGCCCTCCAGAAGCCTTTCCAACATCTGCTGCGATCAAAGTCTGTAAGGTTTGCGGTCCCTCGACGTTTTTGGGGAGTTGGAACACAAGCTCTGGAGTCGGTTCTAGACGGAAACCAAGGCATCGCAGAACGCCTTTCCTTGTACTCTCATCTACGCCATAGCACAAAAGGGATGCGATGTCGTCCAGGACACGATACGTGACATTGCCTTGATTCTGGTACTTCTCGACGATGACGGATGTTTGCGAATATCTTTGATCGGCCTCGTTCTGTTTGTACTCGGCCTTTGCAGTAAACATGTTCGTCGTGAAAGGCACGGGGGTATATCCTTGGCTTTCCGAGTGCACAAAACTCTTCCTGGAAAGCATGACTTGGTCGTGCTTGTGTTCCTTCTAATCTCTGGCCAAGATGAGCAGCTGCGCAAGATCTTGCTGGTATTCCCGCAAGTTCTTGTTGATTTTCTTTGCATTTCTCTCTCCATGGATTGCAAAGAAGGTCTTATCCGCGAAGGAGTCCGGCTTCTGCTTGTCCAAGAACTCAACTGCAGCGACGACTTCCTTGCCGAGTCCCGCTATCTGCGACTCCAAGGATTTCTTGAGTTCGGGATCGGCGCCAGCGGAAACATATTCTCCCGTGCCCTTGCGATGTGCACTTTCAGCTGGCAGGTTGCCAGACTGTGCCCGAACTCGCCCAAGCTGGACCACACGTCTTTCGCGTGTTTGAACGTGTGAGCCCTCCCGGCCAGCCAAGTTCCATATTTGCAAAAGAGATCGACAACTCCAGGCACTGCGAGGACCAGGCCGGCTGCGCTGAGACCATCAACCGGCATTTTAGATGAACGAGAAGGGTAGCAACAAAGGGATGTAGACGGTAAGAGAGATGGAATGCTCAGATTTCTCGAGCTCTAGTGCCGTGCGGCTGAAGTGCTGACGGGAAGAGCGTGCAGAAGAGGATGGACCCGCCCGTCTTTTAGGTTCAGCCTTTCTTGGGATTCGGCTGAGCTGCACAATCTTCTGCCAACGCTTGCACCCACCACTCGCAAGACAGCGATCAGCCGCACGCCAACCCCTTATCACCAAGCATGAAGCCAATGGACATGTGATCAACTCCACCACCGGCCACCCGCCTATCGACACTAATTGAGGCTCTGTATGCCCAGTTAATCACCCCTGGCCAGAGACATCTTCGGTGCTCACATTGCATCTCAGCCTCAGCCGGATCTAGAATAATACCACCATTTTCGCCAGCGATGTTCCAGAGAACCCATGCAAACGTCTAGATATGGCATAATACGAAATTTCCACAGAGATCGGGAAAGGGCAATATGGACGGGTGTTCCTTGCGAAGCGACTTTCAGATCACCAGGTATCAGAGTTCGGGACGTGCCACCGAGGTACCGCTCTTTTCAAGCGCTAATTCCGCTAGATACTGGCTTGCAAAGTGATCTACTTGGACGGCACGGAAACCGGCAAGGCCGCTATTGTGCAAGAAGTCTCAGTGCTCTCCAGACTCCGTCATCCGAATATCGTGGAGTACTACGATGTCGAATGGCTCGCGAATGAAGCAAAACTGTACCTTGAGTACTGTAACGCGCAGACTTTAGATGACTATGTAATGGCCAAATAGCAGCTGTGAGTGGTGTAGTTCGAGTCTGTCTTACCTTTAGTAACTTGTTCCGCAGAGAAGTCAGGCTTCGGAGTTTCCGGCCGAAAAAGAAGTATGGAATCTCGCTTTTCAACTCTCTTCTGCCTTGGCCTACTGTCGTAGTGGCATGCTACGAGGCGCGAGCGGGAGGCTGTATAAGGACTGCCTGAACGATTTCGACGAAGAGTGGAAACCGATACTGCATCGCGTTATCAAACCTTGGAATGGTTTGCGACCTATCATCGACTAGGCAAGATCAAGGCTAACAGATGCCTAGTCTTAGTGAACCGTCACGGCGAAAACGAGCCCACCTTCAAACTTGCAGACTTCGGTTTCGGTGTAATTTTGTCGGACAAGTCTTTCCAGATGTCATTCACTGCCGGCACGCGCGGCTACATTGCACCTGTGAGCCTGCCGTCCTTGCTGTCCTCGCTTGCAGCTTACAAGGTAATCAGGAAGTCCCGGTCGTCTTTCAGGGAGCGGGCCTCTCTCAGTATGGGTATTCCTCTCAGCGCGGGTTCGGCATACTCATCCAATCCGGCCCGTCTGAGCTCTAATCGTAAGTAGGATTCGCCTCTAGAGCTCCTTCTTCTTGTCTTTGCAAAATAAAAGGTTCAGGGGAGATGAGAGGCTGCCGAGTACAAGCCGGGTTTTTCATGCCGGTCAAAGGGGACGTAAGGGACCTGGATAACGGGTTATACCTAGGGAAACGAGTCATCCACTACTTCTGGGGTCCGGCAAGGCTTCCATACTAGCCTCATTTCGGTCGAGATGGTATACTGCTCAAGAGCTACCTTGCTGGATCGTGTTGTCGTAGGGTCATATGAAAGCATCTCAAAACCTTTCAAGATTTAGCGTAAAAATCGTGAATTGTACACTCGACTATGACCTTCCTAATTCAAGACTTAGTGTAGCGAAGGAATTAAGCAAATGACACCTAACTGCCATTAGAGATGCAATGGGAGTGGTAAATCGGATTGCATTCCTACCTAGCCTTCACTTCGTATCTTCCTGAATTCAGGTTACTTGCTAAACGCGACGGATATCCTATTCCAAAGTATAACCTCTTCTGTCGCGGGCATGTCTGATACTCACAAAGCTCGCTCAAGAAGACCATAACTATTTAGGGCTCCAGATAGTCACACAACTGTAAGTCTTCACGACAAGATCTAGGTTCGGGTTTTCCAATACTCCTGATTTATTTTACACTTCAACCAGCCCACCGGGGAGGTCTCCAAGTGATAAAGAAGATTCCCAAGCAGAACGGATTCTTTCAGAGTGTCCAAACCTTAGTCATTTACCGAAATCATACGTTCGATCGAAACCTCATTCGTTGGCCAAAATATGAGACAGACGCTCCACCCGCAGCAAGGGGTACTAGAAGAGAAGTCGCACCGTCTGATCAGAGAAAAGAAACTTCCGACCTACTCATCTCCCTCAACCACCGCATTCTCCTTTTCGCCAGCGCGGGCACGGCAGCAATGCTGTTTATGGCGCGCCCAGTCCACACGCTGGCACTTCGTCGAGCAATAGGAGATGGTCCTGCAACCGCTGCAAGCACGGAGTGATTTCAACTTCTTGCAAATAGGGCAGAGACGCGGCGGCGAAGGGCCCATCGTCGAACGAGCGGGCTGTGTAGGTGCTAACCCATTGTCAGTACTCCCCCTCACCCTTCGTATTGATACACAAGCTAACTCACCACCTCCACCCCCACCACCCACCGGGAAAAGCCGATCCCTCAAATCCCTTGCCCTCAGCATACTCATCTCCAGCCTCTCAGAGCCCGCAAACCCCCCACCGCGCTCCCGCTCCTCAAGCTCCCGCAGGCGCTGCCTATCCACCTCGCGCAGTCGATCAAAGGGCCCGGGGCCCTCTACAGCCGGCGGCGCGCCAGCCCGCCGGTTTTCAGCCAGACGACGTATCACGGACCCGTCTTCCAACTCTACCCCCAGAATCTCGTCGACGATGCGCTCCCGGAGGATCTCTTGCGCCTTGTACCCGATCATGGCCGCGTGCGCGTCCCCGTCTTCCGTGTGTTGCAATGCTTCTTTGAACGCGTCGTGCCCTAGGCCCGCGATGAGGCGGCCAAATCGGATGTCCACGAGCTCGCGCGCTTCGGTGCGGGTTAGAGATGCAGGGTCGAAGCCGGGTGGGAGGGGTCCCTGGCGCGTGATGCCGCGGAGACGGGCAGAGCGGACCTGGGGCTCCGGATCGATGACTTCGGGGGTGTTCCTTGGGGTTGAGTGGTCGGAGGCGGTAGGCAGGCGAGTGTTAGCGCTGCAGTAGAGGCAGATGCCACCGAATTGGGTTGGGTGGGAGCATGGCTGCTGGTGAACTTGGTTCGAGTCGGCGGCTGGTGTAGCTGGGAGGTCGCGGACGTAGTTGAGGGCCGAGTGGAGATTATCCACTGGAGACGCATGGGTCGATTGCTCTTCGTCCGGCTTTGCGGCTGCGTCTTCATCGGAGAGAGTGAGGCGGTTGAGGAGAGTGGAGGGGGCGGATTGGTCCTGCTCGCTCACGACCGGGTGGACGCTGTGCTCGTGTTAGTAGCTGCTTAGGTAGGGGGTGAGTGAACCTTTGTTTACGCCTTAGTATCTGGCTCGGGATCTGGGCTGGTCGATGGTGGAGGCGCCATTATGCAGGGTGCGGGTAAGAGTTTGGGGAGTCAAAGTTTGGAGGTTATGAGAAGTTGAAGCGGTGGTGTAAAGCGTTAAAGACCTATTATAGTCAAACGATTCGTGGAGTGAATTTATCACTTTCCTGACGTCATTCGCTATAGATCTTAGGATGTTAAGGTCACCTTGGGGCTGCTTGCGAGTCAGGCTTTTGACATTGTCGGCTGTCTTCAAATGGTACAGCACCAAGACATAAGTTTTTGGTACTCCCTGCAACTTCTTGGGGTACCCCGATAGGCTCTCAAATTTCCAAACACGCATGTAAGGGCTAACGTAGTGAAAATCAGAGTTGCCTTTGGCGGAGTTAATAACTGCTGGCTGGGGTACTCCTTACAGTGCTGTCCAGCGAGCAAGAGTGGAGCCGGAGCAGCGATATATCCGTCTACCTAAACATTATAAGGCCAGAGCTACTTTAAATACAGATGTAAAGCCTAACGCAGTGAAAATCAGAGTTACCTTTGGCGGAGTTAAGAACTGCTAGCTGGGGTACTCCTTACAGCAGTGTCGAGCGAGCAAGAGTGAAGCCGGAATAGTGATATATCCGTCTACCTAAACACTGTAAGGCTAGAGTTACTGCAAACACGCATGTAAAGCCTAGCGCAGTGAAAATCAGAGTTGCCTTTGGCGGAGTTGATAACTGCTGGCTGGGGTACTCCTTACAGTGCTGTCCAGCGAGCAAGAGTGGAGCCGGAGCAGTGATATGTCCGTCTATGAGAAGTCTACCAGAACGACAACCAGAAGCGACTAGATCAAACCCTCAAGATCTCAGTGTCACAAGAATGTCAAGAATCTGCTCAGAAGTTTTCGCATCGTATTCTCGGGTATAGTCTAGTTTAGCTGCACAACACCCCAACACCATCGCTTCACAATATCAAAACAAGCAACAAAAAGGCAAAAGCTCACCAAAGACTCATCTGCCTTGCACCATTGCGTGATACAAATCAGACATCAAGGGGCCACATCGCTATAGAAAGAATCAAATGAATATACACTAAACGCTATTACTTGAAAACATGCCACAACTGTCTCTTCTCCTCTTGTCGATACTTCTTCTTTTCCGTCATTTCTTCTTCTTTACCTCCGACGAGGAGGCTTTCCAGTCTTCTTGAATTTACTACTACCTGCTGCCACCTCCCCTGTGCAAGAAAGAGCATGCTGGGTTCCTACAACTGCTCTTATACCTGCACTCGGTTGTGGAGTGCTTGTTCGGACACTTTGGAATCCTACACTCGCCACCATTCGTACAGAAGCCTTTGGCGTCTGGTGCCCGGAACGCCCGAGCATTGGAGGAGCCGTTAGGGGTAGGCCGGGTGGTTGGCGCAGGAGCAGGCTGAGGAGGACGCGGAGAGCTTTGATTCTTGGCCGCCTGTACTTTAACTGCCTGTAGTTTAGCCGCTTGCTCTCTTTCGATTTCTGCGTCGTCGTCCATCTGATCAACCCAAGACTTACCTGTAGAAAGTGTGGTAATCATCCCGCTTGATGTACTATTTCCGTCGCTCGGGGGCTTGGAACCTGGCTGAGTGGTGTTCTGAGCAGCACTCTGAGAAGCAGCCCTCCTTTGAGCGGCATCCCTCAAGATGTGCCCATCTTTACCCGGATGATACTTGACGCACAACATGTCCTGGCAATCTTTCGCTTCCTTATACTTCTTCCCGTCTTTGTCGACGCCACAGTAGTCTTCGCAATGCCTGTTTGGGCAGCCTTTTGAGACGAGCTTGCACTCTCCACCGTTCGTACAGTAACCCTGTCTACCAGCCTTTGGGAATTCGATTTTCCCCTCATAGGCCTCGATTCTCTTTCGACCATTGACTATCCCCCCATGTTGTTCCAGATCTTTCTTGTTGTCGGCCTTCATCACTTCGCGACGTTGCCCAATGAGCCGGTAATACCTATCTGGATCGTGGAGATGAAGGTCATCGAGTTCTTCTTGGGTAAAATCGTCCATACCCTCTATCACCTCTTCATCTTGGCCTGTCGGTTCTCCGCCGGCCGAAGAGGTAGGATTCGTAGGAGGAATAGCCGTCGTCGTCTTGGGTGTAGTGCTGTATTTACTGACCCCCATTCCACCCTGTTTCTTGTGAGCCTGATCTTGGGCTTTTTCTATAGCCCTCGCTCTGGCCAACTTCTCTTGAGCAGCCCTCATCTTATCGGTCATCTCTAATCCCTCAATTTTCTGGTCTTCGATAATGGTTGGCTTGCGATCCTGTACCTTATTTTTGGGCGGTTGACTACCATTTGACTGCTTTGACTGGCTTCTGTCAACACTGTCAGGTCTGTTGGGCTTCTTCTTGCCCGAAGTAACACCCCGTTCGCTCGAGGGCTTGGTATCTGGCTTCTTCATAGAGGACAAACCACTACCAAGCGCTTCGGGCTTGCCGTCACTAGATACACTGCTCTCCTCGCTCTCGCTCGAAGTCTCGGTATCAGACTGCACCGGCTTTACCAAATGGCCGAAAATGTTCCCTGCTTGGTGTGCGTTCCCGATCACCGGTTTTGTGCCTCCGAAAAACTCACTCTTGGGCGAGTCGAGGTTGCCAGTTCGTGTGGTAGGGGTCGTCGGCTGACTAGAAAAAGGGTTGAATATCCCGGCCGTGGAGATGGGCTTAGATCCTGGGCTGGGTACCCCAAACGTGAATGCGGGTGACCGTGGAGTGAACGTAGTCGCGGATGGCTTGAGGACTGAAGTTGTTTTGGATGCCTTGGCCCCAGTGGAGAAGAACCCTCCTTGTGGTGGTACTGAAATGGTCTGAGCAAATGGGTTACGTCCAGATGGCTTAACTTCTGTGCCAACCTGCTCATCGTTCTGGTGGCCATTCTTCTCGATCTCGGCATCATCGGGCTTATCCCCAATTGGGGCTTCGACACTAGTCTCTGCAGTAGAAGAGGTAAAACCCATGCTTGTCACGATACCACTAACCAAGTTCGAGAACTCCTCTCCTTCAAACAACCCATCAACGCGGCCCTCTAGAGCTTCAATAAGCTCGTTAGTAGTATCAGCCTTCGCCATGGCGGCCTTCGCCATTTTCCGAGCCGCAATCATCTCGTTCCTTGTCAGTTCCGGATCGTCATACAAGTCATCGTTCTCTTCCGGTTTCTTAGGCAAAGGTTGTTGGGAGCAGAGTGGGGATCAATCAATCAATCAACTTTGACGTCTCCAAGTTGATTGATTGCTTCGTTGAACAGGCTGTGATTGATTTGATTTGATTTGATTAATTTCTGAGATGCTCAAGTTGAGTTGATGAGATTGATACTTTTTGACCCCCAAGTTGAATTGATTGGTTTGATTGATAGATTGATTGATAAGTTGATTACTACTTAGGAGGTTTGATGCCAATTCGACGCCAGGAGCGTATAGATTGCAGAGCACTAAGTAACTCAGGCTTTATATTAAGGCGTCGTACGCCCAGGAGATCGCCAAGTTCGCTGAAAATTCTCTCACAATTAGCTGAGGAGGCTGGGATGGAGTAGATATCAAGGGCTAGCTGGCCTAGAATAGAATAGCGATCTCTTGTGATAACCTAGTACTAAATAGGGTCCTTCGCTAGTGGGTTGTCCTGTTTCAGAGTTAGCTCGCGCTTCCACCTCTTGTACTCGTCGTTAACAGTTTCCTCCATCTCCTGCTTGCCCTCCTCTATAGAGTTCCTAAGGAAGTCTGCTCGGTCGTTTATAGGGCTTGTTCAACGGCGTTTTGCAGGCCTTATATTAGGAGATAAGGTAGGAGATACTGCGCCAGCAGCCTTTGCAGCCACCTTATCCTTATATACCTGCCACAGCAGCCGGAAGGAGCTATAGCTATTTAAAAGCCAGTTCTTATATAGATATAGCCTATCGCGCTTTATATTATAATCCTTTAGCACCTTCTATAGCCCCTTAAGCGCATGTTTATATACTAGATAAAGTATTATAGCTGTAAAATAGATAAAGGTGTCTTCTATTTTCCTATAGTAATCCGCAAGCTTTTTATAGGCGGTGTTAATATTAATAACTAAGTAATTTTTAGGTGTATTTAAATTCTTATAGTTAATAGCCTTAAGCCTCTTCTTCTGCTTTTTAAAAGCTAAAAGTAGCTATTTAAATATAATAAGAACTTCCTAAATAGCTCTATAGCTACTAGCTAAACCTCTGCCCTATAGCTATATTATTGCATTTTTAAACAGCTTAAGCAGCTGCTTATACTCTATAATTGTTGCCTAATTACCTGTATTTAGCCTTTGCTCCTTAATAAAGTACTGCGGTTTCTCCTTTTTTATATTTTTGTGCTAAGATACTGCTTTAATATTGTATTTCTTAAGCTTTATATATATATACGCGTTAAAAGGGCCTTAGAGCTTATAGGCGCGCTTAAAGCAATTATAGTAAAAGTTCTACTAAGTTCTAATAGGCTTAATAAGCTTCTTTAGTTTATAAGATTTATTATAGTGCTTTAAGTTTTCTGCCTGCAGCTTAATAAACAGCTCTCGGGCTTATAAAAAGGCGCTAATAGATAATATAATATTAAATAGCACCCTAATAGGCCCGGCTTTCCTCTACT